AACTGATTAGTGAGAAGACACTGAAGGACCTGAACCTGACAACTTTGAAAACATATTTAAAACATGCAAGATACACAGAATTTGACTGCATATAAGGACATTGAACTGCTCGGCTGAGAGACTGAGGAACATAGATAAAAGGACACAGATGAGTTACTTTGATGCTAGGAAACATTTTTTCATGCTCAGTGTGGTAAATAAGTTGAAGTTAACTCCGTGCGCAATTTCTAGAGTAGGTACGATATGACCCAAGACGCCAGGAACCAATAATATACTGGAGAGTGTAACTCCATGAGTAAATATTATATAACATTTGTGACATGTTATGAACTTAAGTACAAACATTATTAATGGCATCACTGCTACGAAACAAGTACAAACCACGAATATCAACAACTAGGATCACAACGTTTATAATACTTGAAATCGACTCTTCACCTTGTTGAGGTGTTCAACACGCGCGACACACACACACACACACACACACACACACACACACACACACACACACACACACACACACACACACACACACATGTGCCTAGGACAAAATGGTAACTAACACACAGGCGGGGCCAAGAGCTTGGTATCGACCCCTGCAACCTCAACTAGGTGAGTACACACCTCAAAGGCGATGGGGTTGGAAAACATCCCGCGCTATGTATACCCCTAACAACAATATTCAACACATCTATCGAAACAGGGAGATTACCTGAGGTATGGAAGACAGCAAATGTAGTCCCAATTTAAAAAAAAAAACAGACAGACATGAAGCACTAGACTACAGACCAGTGTCACTGACATGTATAGTATGCAAAGTCATGGAGATTATCAGAAGAGTGGTGGAGCACCTAGAAAGGTATGAGCTCATCAACAACAGCCAACACGGTTTCAGGGATGGGAAATCCTGTGTCACAAACCTACTGGAGTTCTATGACAGGGTGACAGCAGTAAGACGAGAGAGAGAGAGAGAGGTGGGTAGATTGCATTTTCTTGGACTGTAAGAAGGCGTTTGACACAGTTCCTCACGAGAGATTACTGCAAAAACTGGAGGACCAAGCAGGGATAACAGAGAAGGCACTACAATGGATCAGGGAATACCTGTCAGGAAGACCGCAGCGAGTCATGGTACGAGGTGAGGTGTCAGAGTGGGTGCCTGTGACGAGTGGGGTTCCACGGGGGTCAGTCCTAGGACCGGTCCTGTTTCTGGTATTCGTGAACAACATGACGGAAGGAATAGACTCCGAAGTGTCCCTGTTTGCAGATGATGTGAAGTTGATGAGAAGAATTCAATCGGATGAGGACCAGGAAGAACTACAAAGGGATCTGGACAGGCTGCAGGCCTGGTCCAGCAATTGACTCCTGGAGTTCAACCCCACCAAGTGCAAAGTCATGAAGATTGGGGAAGGGCAAAGAAGACCTTAGACGGAGTACAGTGTAGGGGGCCAGAAACTACAAAACTCACCCAAGGAAAAAGATTTTGGTGTGAGTATAACACCAGGCACATCTCCTGAGGCGCACATCAACCAAATAACTGCTGCAGCATATGGGCAGTTAGCAAACCTAAGAACAGCATTCCGCCATCTTAATAAGGAATCGTTCAGGACCCTGTACACTGTGTACGTTAGGCCCATATTGGAGTATGCGGCACCAGTTTGAAACCAACATTTAGCCAAGCACGTAAAGAAACTAGAGAAAGTGCAAAGGTTTGCAACAAGACTAGTCCCAGAGCTAAGGGTTATATCCTACGAGGAGAGATTAAGGGAAATCGACCTGACGACACTGGAGAACAGGAGAGATAGGGGGGATATGATAACATATAAAATACTGAGAGGAATTAACAAGGTGGACAGAGACGGAATGTTCCAGAGATGGGACACAGCAACAAGGGACACAGTTGGAAGTTGAAGACACATATGAATCACAGGGATGTTAGGAAGTATTTCTTCAGTCGCAGAGTAGTCAGGAAGTGGAATAGTTTGGGAAGCGATGTAGTGGAGGCAGGATCCATACATAGCTATAAGCAGAGGTATGATAAAGCTCACGGTTCAGGGAGAGTGACCCAGTAGCGGCCAGTGAAGAGGTGGAGCCAGGAGCTATGAATCGACCCTGCAACCACAACTAGGTGAGTACAACTAGGTGAGTACACACACATTAAAAAGTAAGGCTGGAACAGCTAAAGAGCACTGGTATAATAACCGACAACTGACCTGGGATTAAAACAGGTAAATCTGATATTAACAACCTCCAGGAGTCTTGCGACAGTCTGACAACTATAACGAAAAACGCAAAATGCTGGCTGCACTGTCCTTAGATTTTGAAACTGTATTTGATATACCGCACCTATAAGAGCTATAATGGATAACTCGAACGGAATGACAGTGGATCTCCTTACTTAGAAGTGTCCCGTAGCTCAATTGCTAGCGCACTCAGGTCACACACTGAGGGCCTGGGGTCGATCTCCGGTACATTAGGACGTGGTTTCTTTAAGGCATCTGCTGTCTATGTTCACTTATCAGTAAAATAGGTACCCGGGTATTAGTGGACAGGTATGGTTCGCATCCTGAAGACAAAAATTGACCTAATTTGCCCGAAATGCTGTACATGTACTGTAGAAATAAATATTATTATTATTATTATTATTATTATTATTATTATTATTATTATTATTATTATAAAGGGAGCTGTATAGCCCTTGTGGCTTAGCGCTTCTTTTTTATTATAATAATAATAATATTATAAAGGGTAGGAGACAATGATAGGGAGGACATACCAACATGGTCACGCATGACGGGTGGGGTCCCTCAAGGTTCAGTAATAGTAGCGGTACCATTCTGGTGTCAAATATTATGATGTTAGCTAATTTAATCCTTAAAATGACATTTTAAAAGCAAGTTTAATTTAAAATTATTATATAGAATGTACAGTACATCTCCATATTACGTTAATATCGTTATACACATTTTGTAGCCGAGAGAGAATAAAAAGATGACGTGAATAGTAAACACATGTGTACACTACCCACATGGGCGTAGAAGTGGCTGCTGGAATTCAACCCCTTAGTGATGTCGGTGGATGGCTCGGAATCGGTACTTATTGAAACTAAATTCCCCTTTCCTCGGATCAAACCTGATTATTGTATCCCAGCATAGTGCCAGCTGCCTGTATCATGTAACATAATGACACTTCTATGTATCATATAGTGTCATCTGCATGTATCACAGTGTCAGCTGGGTGTATCATACAGGATAGTGTCAGTTGCCTGTATCATATAGTACGTGTCAGTTACCTGTATCATACTCTATGGTGTCAGCTGTATGTAACGTACAGGATAGTGTTAGCTGCGTGTATCATACAATATAGTGTCACTACGCTATACGATTCGAGCAACTGTTAGTCCCTTGCATTATATAGCAGTGTCAGCTGCTTGTATCTTATAGTGTCAGCTGCCTGTATCATATAGCATAATGTAAGCAACGTGTCAGTATCAACTGTTATATATTCAGTGCCAGCTGCGTCATCATACAGCAGTGTCATCTGTCTATATCATACATCATAATATCTGTATGCATTATTACATAGTTGTACCCCTGCTGACTTAGAATAGTCTGGGCGAGGCTGTATCAAGCTAGTCTCCTCCACAACTCTCCACAAATGACAGGGTGGGCTGGTTGAGGGGGAAGCCTTAGGCTGCCACCACTTCTACCCCGTCAACCCCCTCCTATCACCATGCCATGTAAGCTTCAACCTACATGGAGTACACAGTCTGCTGGGAGAGCCATCATTGCAAGGTTTCTGATCCGTATAAACCGTGTTTTTCGTCACGTAAGATCTCTGAGAAATTATATACTGTGTGTTCTAACATGCAGGAATGCTATTTAAGTGATATATTGTGCGTTGTATCAGGCAGAATCTCTGAGATGATATACTGTGTATTCTATCACATAAGACTGCTGACCAGTGATGCATTTGCACACACGAGTGTGCAAATATATGTGTGCAAATGCATCACTAGACAGACTTTGAATGTCTTTCCTGAGTGTCCTAATTACCTGTCATGAATGTCTATCTTGGGTGGGTTTTTTCTTTCAAAATCATAGCAAGAATTAAAAACAGAATGCAAAATATTTCAGAATATAATAATTAATAGTATTAATAAGATGCTCTTTTAAGGTAGCCTAGGAATCTAGTTTTCCTTAGTCTTCAATTCCTTGACTAGTTTGGTTGTATTAGTATATGTTGTCGGTGTTGTAACCAGTTGTTGGGTGTGGGATCTTGGAGACAGCTAGACAAGCCAGGTGTTATTCTCTTGGGAGAAAATACACAAAAACTAGCTTATAAAAAACTGTGAACAGTGTGTGGATATCCTAGCAACTCTTAACCGATCCACATATTCCTTTGATCATTCAAGCTTGTTTTCTAGCAGGTTAGCTGTTTTATATTTTTTACACCATTGAATTTGTAGGCTAATTGTTGTCTTACATCGGTTTATTATGAAATCTAGCCCTCGGTTAGGTATAACAGCTACCCTTCCTGTCCCTCCATGCTATGCGACTAATCCCCATGCGAACAGGAGCAACAGGTGTCAGGAATCGTGACCAACGTTTCCACTCTTGCCGGAATCGAATTTTGGTCCCTCACTTGTGAACCACGAGCTACTAACTATAAACAGTGGTCTAGCAGGTTAGCTCTTCTCTCCCCTTTAAATTTAAAGCAGTCTAGGTAGTTTCCTAACAGCCTTGATAGGGAAGGGCTCTTAATCCAATTATTTGAAGCTATTTTCATATTGGATCAAATATGATTATCTCAAATTCTCTGAGTGGTATAACTCTTATGGGGTTTACGCTTCCTAAAGACTGTAATAATTTCTAGCAGCCTACAGAGGTTTGTTTATCCGACCACCAATGAAGAGAGAATGAGGAGCATCGTGAACGTTATATTTCTCATATTTTTCATGCACCCTTGTGTAAGAGGTCCTGAAGACGGCTTCATAGACTCACCTGAGAGTGCAGTGGGAACGAGGGTGACGTACAAGGTGGTGCAGAGTGTGAAGAGCCTCATCGTCTCTCTCTGGAGCCTTCACCTCGTCCTGCCTGCCAGGTTCTGCTCAGATCTTCGACACGTCTCGTAGAGATCAAAGAATAATTCCTCTGTCGTGGAGTCGGAGATGCGTCTACGACTGGTAGCAAGAAGCATTGACCGAGTCGCACAACTTCTCATTTGCAATTTCACACTTTAAACGTTACTGAGAGTGTTAATAGTTTTGGGACGATTCAAGATATTATCCTTGAAGTGTAAGTCTGGATTAGGGATGGCCGGAGAGGAGAAGATGAAGCAGCACGCGCGAGATAAAAGATTAGAGTAACAGGCTAGATACACAGGCTGCACTAGCACACCAGAACAGAGAGAGCTCAACCCTTCACCAGCTTGCCACGGTACACACTGATCACCACGTGTGAGAGGGTGTGTATGTGTGTGTGTGTGGTGTGTATGTGTGTGTGCGCGCGTGTGTTACGCGCGCGTGTGTGTGTGTACGCCCCTTCCCTAGTTTCCAGCGCCGCGTAATCTACAAAAGAACCATCGACCCCCGCTTCTCCCATACGAGAACTTCCTTGTTACCCTCATCATCTACAACTATGTTGTTGAGAACGTGAAACAAAGCAAATAATGCCCACTTAATTCCAGCGACGGTGAATCTTACCTGTGTTGTGATGTAACGTCACAGTTACGTCATGGCGTTAGAGCCAATGATAGTCATCTGCTTCTCCCACACCTCCATGGCGTCACAACCTGTTGACCTATCACTCTGCAGGACTTTACCATGGAGGTCCATTTTAACATCCAATAGCATGTCATGCATCGTGCAGCATCAGGCAGGTGTATGCATGATCTTGTAGAAACGAAGAGTAACATTATCGAGGAGCTAAATACAAATATAGTTTCCTCATTAACCGCAATATAATAATTGTTCTAAGACTTTACGAACTGTACGGACACAGTATTTATGAAAGTATCTGGTGTTAGCAGCTCCTTGGGAGCCTCTATATATACTGAAGGTTAATTCATTCGTATATTCAGAATACCGTCGACTTTGGCAGAATGAGGACTTTCAGACTTGCTCTCTCACCCACACGACCCCTCGAGGAAGGTTCCTTGATGTTGGTGAGGGGCTCTTGATTTAGGGAATTGGATCTGTGCTCCAGTTCCCCGAATTAAGCCTGAATGCCTTCCACATCCCCCCAGGCGCTGTATAATCCTCCGGGTTTAGCGCTTCCCCCTTGATTTTAATAATCACCCACACGAGTATGTGTATTTTGTGTAATCACCTAATTGTGGTTTCAGGCGTCGATTCATAGCTCCTGGCCCCGCCTCCTCACTGGTCGCTACTAGGTCCACTCTCTCCCTGCTCCATGAGCCGTATCACACCTCTTCTTAAAGCTATGTATGGATTCTGCTCCCACTACATCACTCTCCAGACTATTTCACTTCCAGACAGCTCTGAAGAAGTGTGTGTGTGTGTGTGTGTGTTGTGTGTGTGTGTGTGTGTGAAACTTAAGCTCTGTCTCTCGGGTTGTATATATCATGCATTTGATTGTTATAGCTTTCTGAGCCCTTGAGTTCTGGTTCTGGTCAGAACAATTGTTCATCATTCTGCACACTGTGGCACCTGAACTCACTCACCACTTTATTCCTCACACTGAAGAAGTAGCTTTAAAAGTCTTTTTGGTCCTCTTTATGTGATAAATTTCCCTCTGCGCCCCTTCCTAGTCACTCCCACTTCCATTCACCTACCTTTCTAAACTGCATATATATCCCTGAGTATCTTCAACACTGTAATCATATCTCTGGTTCTCCAGTCAGGGAGGAGTGTGGATAGGCAAGTTTAAGCCTAGAAAGGTGAGGGGCAGCTTTACATGGATCGAAAGATGTTCACCAGAATCGAAGCATCTCCCGTTCGAGCCAAGAATTTGGTCCTAGTGACCGTGCACAGGCATTGAAATTTTGAAGCCGATTGGATGAGGTTTTCTCGAGTTATGATCAAAATAATACAAGATTTGTAGGAAGTAAAAAAAAAATCAGGCAACCATTTAAAGATCCTCCTTTTCGGATACTTAATAATACACTGACGTCTACTACTACACTGGTAAACTATCCCCAGGTACTATGATGAGCTATCACAAATACTATAAATAGTGTAGTATTTGTGATTGTGATTAACTATCATAAATACTATGATAAACTATCCATGAGTTAAGATGCAGTAGTTGTGAGTTTAGGGACATTTACTAATGAGTTTAGAATCACTGACAAGTTGAAAAATGAGATACTTGTGTAACATTTGGTAATGCTGTGGAAACGTTTTTCTCCAGCCAGTGGCTTCTTCAGTCCAATACGGAGAGAAACAGTTGAAGATGATGAAGAGTTTGAGGTAATCAGTCCCTCAACCTGGACTCTGTGTGTTCAAGATTGATGGACTGAACCCAGTCTCAAAGTGGTAACACTGTACTTATCGAAGTGGTAATACTGCACTTTTCGAAGTAGCAATACTGCACTTATCGAAGTGGTAATACTGCGCTGATCCAAGTCGCAAAACTGCGCTGATCTAAGCGGTAACACCGCGCTTATCAGAGTGGTAACACCGCGCTTATCAGAGTTGTAACACTGCACTTATCAAAGCGGTAACACTGGAAAGTGGTAACACTACGCTTATCTAAGTAGTAACACTGCACTTATCAAACTGGTAACACTGCTTTTATCAATAATAGTAACACTGCACCTATCTAGATTACTACATATAATTGAACTTAGGTTCTTAAGTTCGAATGTTTGAAGGAAAATGAAGATATAATCAAAGTCAAGGTAAGAAAGTTCGTGAAGCTGAGGGATAGAACTTAAAATAAGGGAAAAGAGACGTAGAGAACATGAGAGACGTAGATAACGGGAGAGACGTAGATAACGGGAGAGACGTAGATAACGGGAGAGACGTAGATAACGGGAGAGACGTAGATAACAGGAGAGACGTAGATAACAGGAGAGACGTAGAGAACAGGAGAGAGATATAGACAACGGGAAATACAACTGAGCCATAAACTGTGAAGGAAAACTGGACCAGGTTTCGCTCCTTCCTGGACCGTTATAATCCAGGTTTCTGTCCGTTCCAGACAATCATTACCCCCCCTTTCCCAAACACACACACACACACACACACACACACACACACACACACACACACACACACATGATAACGACATATAAAATACTGCGTGGAATAGACAAGGTGGACAAAGACAGGATGTTCCAGGGAGGGGACACAGAAACAAGAGGTCACAATTGGAAGTTGAAGACACAAATGAGTCAGAGAGATATTAGGAAGTATTTCTTCAGTCATAGAGTTGTAAGGCAGTGGAATAGCCTAGAAAATGACGTAGTGGAGGCAGGAACCATACACAGTTTTAAGACGAGGTTTGATAAAGCTCATGGAGCGGGGAGAGAGAGGGCCTAGTAGCAACCGGTGAAGAGGCGGGGCCAGGAGCTAAGACTCGAGCCCTGCAACCACAAATAGGTGAGTACAAATAGGCGAGTACAAGAAACTGAGACTCGACTCCTGCAGGGCAAAGGAATTTACTGCTAGAATTATTATTAATTTATCAGTTAAAGAGGAGATGGCAGATAAACAGCTGTTGTTGTCGGCTGTGATGAAGGTAAAATAATATTAAGAAGCGAAACAAAGAAGAGCACACAAATGAACTGCCAAGAGCATATTGAGGGATGTAGGGCTGCATGACCCTTGTGGGTTTAGCGCTTAGTTTTTCGATTATAATATGGGATGCAGGAGAGTTGGAAACTCCGAGAAAGATAAGCAGAGGCAACTGACAATAATACAGAGTAAATATGAGGAAGCAACGTTACAGAAAGATAAAGACGAAATAAAGAAGAGAGAAAAAAGACAAGGCCTTTTAAAAAAGGACATAGGTGATAATTTTTTCTCGTAAACGCCGCTACGAGGTTAAATGAGGATATAAATGAGGAAAAGTAACAATTTTTTTCAGAGAGTAACAGGACCGTCCCGATCTTACAGATCATTTCTCAAAAAAAAGAAAAAACGAGCACAAGATAAATAGGAAACAAGAACATATAGCTAACAAATAGGAATATCGAGATGACAACATTTCTGTCCAGTTTATTTGCTAACATTTATGGAGTAATCTAAAGAAAAACAAGAAATAAGGAACGTTATAAACGATAAGAAACCTGTCTTACTGAATATAAACTTGAAAAACTTTGTAAATTAGGATGGATGAGAGAAGTTCTCAGTGTAGAGAGGGACATCACTGTAGCAAGACATGGGAGTCAGTGTAGAGAGGGACATCACTGTAGCAAGACATGGGAGTCAGTGTAGAGAGGGACATCACTGTAGCAGGACATGGGAGTCAGTGTAGAGAGGGACATCACTGTAGCAGGACATTGGAGTCAGTGTAGAGAGGGACATCACTGTAGCAAGACATGGGAGTCAGTGTAGAGAGGGACATCACTGTAGCAGGACATGGGAGTCAGTGTAGAGAGGAACATCAGGGAAGCAAGACATGGGAGTCACAGCGTAGAGAGGAACATCAGGGAAGCAAGACATGGGAGTCACAGTGTAGAGAGGAACTTCAGGAAAGCAAGACATGGGAGTCACAGTGTAGAGAGGAACATCAGGAAAGCAAGACATGGGAGTCACAGTGTAGAGAGGAACATCAGGAAAGCAAGACATGGGAGTCAGTGTAGAGAGGAACATCAGGGAAGCAAGACATGGGAGTCACAGTGTAGAGAGGAACATCAGGGAAGCAAGACATGGGAGTCAGTGTAGAGAGGAACATCAGGAAAGCAAGACATGGGAGTCACAGTGTAGAGAGGAACATCAGGAAAGCAAGACATGGGAGTCACAGCGTAGAGAGGAACATCAGGGAAGCAAGACATGGGAGTCACAGTGTAGAGAGGAACATCAGGGAAGCAAGACATGGGAGTCACAGTGTAGAGAGGAACATCAGGGAAGCAAGACATGGGAGTCAGTGTAGAGAGGAACATCAGGAAAGCAAGACATGGGAGTCACAGTGTAGAGAGGAACATCAGGGAAGCAAGACATGGGAGTCACAGTGTAGAGAGGAGCATCAGGGAAGCAAGACATGGGAGTTACAGTGTAGAGAGGAACATCAGGGAAGCAAGACATGGGAGTCACAGTGTAGAGAGGAACATCAGGGAAGCAAGACATGGGAGTCACAGTGTAGAGAGGAACATCAGGGAAGCAAGACATGGGAGTCACAGTGTAGAGAGGAACATCAGGAAAGCAAGACATGGGAGTCACAGTGTAGAGAGGAACATCAGGAAAGCAAGACATGGGAGTCACAGTGTAGAGAGGAACATCAGGGAAGCAAGACATGGGAGTCACAGCGTAGAGAGGAACATCAGGGAAGCAAGACATGGGAGTCAGTGTAGAGAGGAACATCAGGGAA